TCTTCTGTTCGCTCACTTTGCATTTTGTAAATTGATAAACATAAGCAATTACAATATATATATATTTGAAAGCATTCTTACTTTACAGCATCTTTTCATGCCTGCCTAAAACGTTTGCACAGTACTGTATATATAATGGACTTGCCCCCCTCTTTTGAGCAGGCTGATCCATTTCCAACCATCCTTTGTTTTTTAACAGTCAGGTTTACAATCATTTTTTCACTGACTGTGTGAGAAGTAAATGTCACACAGCCTCCCTCTCATCCACAGCCCATAGCTGAGGCCAGCTGAACCAAAGATGATGCTTTCCAGATCTCCCTTTCACAAGACTGGCTATTGCAGTAAGAAAAGTGTAATTTCATAGGCAAAAATGGTCCACCCAGACTCCATGAACAGATTAAAGACACAGCAAAAAAAACAAAAACAAAAACAAAACTCATTGAAGGCCAGAATATGCCTTAGCTGACATATTTACAAATTGTTGGAAGAATAAAATCTGACCTCAGAAATGAGGGAAGGACATTAAGAAAAATGATAGAATTTGAAATGCTTATACAAAATAAAGACCACTAATTAGAACATATATATAAACTCCTACTTAGATATGACAGAACAAATAAAAACATATATAATTTTTGTTTAGATTTTTATCCCGCCCTTTTTTTTCCACATACAAGTCAAGACAGCAAACATACCAATAATCCTTCTTTCTCCTATTTTCCCCACCACAACAACCCTATGAGGTAGGTTGGGCTGAGAGAGAGTGAGTGGCCCAAAGTCACCCAGCCAGTTTTTCATGCCTAAGGCAGGACTAGAACTCACCGTCTCCTGGTTTCCAGGCCAATACCTTAACCACTACACCAAACTGGCTCTCTAGGGTGCAATTGGACGCAAAGCTTCAAAGAAACAGTTTCAATACAACAAAGGGAAGAATTGTGGAACAAATCTATCAAATTCACTCCAAGCTATTGTTTGAGAGAGAACTCTTTCTAAAAACATTTATAAACAATAATATAGTGGAGATTTTGACATTAAACTAAAAATTGTATATTTCTTTTTAATATCATAAAAATAGCTTAATATACTCTGCTTGGAACCCTTACTAATGTCATATTGAGTAACAATTGCACAACTTCAGTAATTATCTGTTTATTCATAGATCTTTTTTGAAAATATACCTTCATTTTAAATAAAAGGACTATAAGACTAAATAATAAAATAAGCACAGAATACTGCCGATGTACTTCTCAAAAGAGGGAAATGAATACATATCCCTACCTATATTTGTGTATCTGTATCTGTTGTATCGTTGTTAAATAAAGTTAAAGAAAAGAAAAAGATGGGCTATTTGCATGATGCATTGATGAGAGGGGATAGGATCTGTCCAGCAACTATTCCGCCTTTGACTGCTGCAGGAACATCTCCTCCCCTCCAATCTGCTCCGGTGGGTGGTGCCTGAAGTCATTTTTATTTGCTCCTCTCAGATCCCCCGCACAGCATGTTAGCCAGTTGCATGTGGTGCTGGGTGTCTGAAGTGGGAGATGAGCTGTCAGACGTTACATACAATGGGAGTACTGGCTGAAACAGAAGGAAGCCCAGCAAGTTTTATCAGCCAGTGCCTCCCCCATGACATATTTGCAAGTCACACAGGGGATATGGGAGATCTGCAACCCGTCACCCCAGCAGATGATCCAGGGGTGCAAGGGTGCTTTTGCTCCCATCCAAGCTAAGCATCTGCCTTTCATACCTTACTCACCAGTTCACTCAGCCTTTTACCAGGGCCATGCCTAGCATCCTTCCTGCCAGACCTGACTGGGTCATGCCAGGCTGGTGCTGGAGCAAAGGCATCTGGCCAAGCACCTACCCAGCAGGACACTTTCACTGATGTCAGTTCACCAGCATAGGCTTTCACCAGCAAAAGCACCATATTGAGAATCTGGCCTGTAAACCTTTCACAAACAGGTAGGTTGGCAGCGGGTGCTTGGCATAATAGATCTGCTATAGTACCCAGCCTGTCACCCTCCTGGCTGTCAGCCCTTACCAGGCAGATGGGCAGAGAACATGCAGAGCACCGAAGCAACTGCATTCTGCCCGATAGCCTCTACCCGCGCTAGGGAGACACAATTGAGGTTGGCTCTGCATTTTGTGAGTGAGTAAGGGAATTCATAACGACATTCTGCGTGCCACTTCGTGGACTGGAGGACAGCACCAAACCGGTTATCTGGATGTGCCCGAAGAGTACAGACTGCAAGGGAAAACAGCAACGAATCAATCGTGGAGCAAGTAAAGGCTGACTGTTCCCCTGAGACGAGGATCAGGCAATAGAAGCTCGCAGGCTGCTTGTGATGCAAACAGATGATGCGAGCTAAGGTTGAGTTACGGATTACTGCTAAAGGCAGGTCAGGATGACGTCACCAGGAGTCCAGCCACAGTCCAATGTGCACAGGATTTTTCCCCCAGCAGCCACTTTACCGGAGTGGCTTAAAAAACAAAACAAAACCCTGCCAGCCTGCCAACCCAGCGGACTTCCAGCCTCCCCCGGCAGAAGCCCACCCGATAAATAAACCACAACCCCGACCTAAGGAACCCGCGCGCGCTCTCCATCCGCTCTTGCGCCTCCCGAACACGCTAACACTGGCTAGGGAATTCTGGGAGTTGAAGTCCACCGCTCTTAACGTTGCCACGGTTGAGAATGACTGCGCTAACGCAACAGGAAGCCTCCCGTCCGAGGCCGCTCTCGCGTAACTCCGGTCGCCTCCGCCCGACCCGAGCCAGGGGGAGCCTGAGAGGGGGCGGGACTTTAGGGACCAATCCGAGCAATTAGCGGAGAAGACGTCACGCGGAGAAACCCCAGGATGGCGGTGCAGACGGAGGAAGGTCAGGGGCGTGAGAGGGGCACGCGGACGCCTGTCGAGGGAACGGGTTAGGGGGCTGCGGGAGGGGGGGACAGAAGCACGTGCCAGAACTGGGAAAATTCTGTAGTAGTCGTGGCTGTCCATATCTATGTTATTCCAGCTAAAACAACGCATGAGGGTGACAAACATGCAGTAGACGCGGTTGACATTTAATATATTCTTATATCTCTATGACCAAAACGTGTATGTGTTTGTTTCCTATTGGCTCTGGGTTTTACAGTATATTTAATGTTTCCTAGCTTTTTGAAGGATGTGCAGGCTGAGCCGAGAGTGCTGAGAGTGAGCCACAAGTAGTAGAATGGGGCATGAATATTTTAAAAAGTTGTGAGGAAGTTTGCTGGAATTATGGGCAATTATGTGTAGATATATTTGTGCTATATTTAGCTAGATGAGAATCAGTATATGCCACTGAGTTGGGAATTGAGGTATAATACAGATTTCAAATCCCATATTAATTGATTACAGGCAATCAAGTTATTTTCGACACTTAGCAACCACATAGAGGCAGTTCTTGAGTTAGGACTGCAATTGGGACCAGGATTGCTATCACTAAGCGATGCAGTCATAAAGCGCAACATCACATGACCACATCACTTAGCAACAGCAATCCAGGCAGTCCTGGTTGTCATTGTAACCTAAGACATGAGGGACATTAAGTGGGAAGCGGAGGGAATCCCAGGTAAGGAGCGCAGGGGTGCCACAGGGGGGTGGGGGAGGCCCTGGGAGACCTGGCGTAGGCCATGCATGAGTTGGTGGGAGGAGTGCTCAATGCAGCACAAACTCAGAAAGGCCGGGGAATGAAGGCACAGGGTGCATGCAATTGCAGGGAGGCCAGGGAAAGAGGATGTGGGGTACATGCGTGTGTGCAGTCGCAGGGAGGCTAGGGAAAGAGGGCACAGGGTGCATGTGTACATGTCTGCATTCACAGGGAGGCCAGGGAAAGAGGGCGTGGGGGATGTGTGAGCAAAGGGGGGAAGGAAGGTGTGGTGCGTACAAGCAAAGAAGTGGGGGAGATTTACCCCAGCAACTTGCAACCTTCCTTGCTGGCTCCTACTGAATTTACTTGAGGGAAGCCAGCAGGGAAGGGCACAAATGGCGATCATGTGACCGCAGGATGCTGCAACTGGTCGTAAGTGCGAGCTGATTGCCAGGCACCTGAATTTTGTTCACATCACTGCAGAAGTGCTGCAATGGCTGGAACTTGGAGGACCAGTTGTAAGTCCCTTCATTCAGACTGTCGTAACTTTGAATGGTTGCTGAACAAATGGTTGTAACTTGAGGACTACCTGTAGATAGATCTTTCTCCAAGATGATCTGTCCCTAACCTGGTCTTTCAGATCTTGCCCTTATCACCACTGTAACTGAGTTCATACACCTTGCTGCCAGTCGTCCTCTTCTTTCCTCGGCCTTTCCTAAAGCCAGCTTGAACATCTGGCATCTCTTTTTCCATGTA